GGAATGCAGATGAGGATGGACGTGATAAACAATGGTTTGTCACGATTCCCCACGAGCATCTAATTTTGCAGCCTGGATTATGCAGCAGGTATATTAAAGCTCAAGAGAGAAGTCCTGGAAAATAAACCCGACTACAAGTGCCACTCCCCATTTTTGTTTTTAGTCAACTCTTTTTTTTCTTCTTTGTTTAAACTGAAGTATAGTTAATTTACAATGTTGTGTTAGTTTCAGGTGTGCAGCAAAGTGAATCAGTTTTATATATATATATATATATTCTGTTCCATATTCTTTTCCATTATAGTTATTACAAGATACTGAATATAGTTCCCTGTGCTATACAGTAGGTCCTTGTTGTTTATCTATTTTACGTACAGTAGTGTGTATCTGTTAATCCCAAACTCCTAATTTATCCCTCCCCCCATCCCTTTCGGTTATCATAAGTTTGTTTTCTATGTCCGTGAGTCTACTTCTGTTTTGTAAATAAGTTCATTTGGGTTTTGTCAACTCTTAATCACTACAACGCTACCGACGACATGAACAGCATGAAGAATTTAAAGGCCCAGTTTCTCAACTCATCAATGCTGGCCCCCCCAATCTGACCCCTTTTCCCCACATCCCTTGCACCTTTTTATTTTTATTTTTTAAAGATAGTAAGGAAGACTTTATTCAAGGGGGCTACTACAATGAGTTTTTTAATACATCTTTATTGGAGTATAATTGCTTTACAATGGTGTGGTAGTTTCTGCTTTATAACAACGTGAATCAGTTATAAATAGACATATGTTCCCGTATCTCTTCCCTCTTGCGGCTCCCTCTCTCCCACCCTCCCTATCCCACCCCTCCAGGCGGTCACAAAGCACCAAGCTGATTTCCCTGCCCCGCACCTTTTTAAGCCCCACTCACCTTCAAGACCCCACAGTTTCTGGCTGGTGGAACCCTAACTTCATTCTGCTTGGCTGCAGAGCGCTCTCAGTCTCCCTGCAGGGAGGGAGGGGCTCCCGAACCAAGGGCGGGTGTGCATCTCTGGGTCGCCCGCTCGGGCCACACCCCACCCCCACAGGCCTCAAGGTGCACACACAAAGCTCAAAGGCAGCCATGTGGGCAGCGGAAGGGGAGCAGGGAGACAAAACCAGGTTTCTCTTCAATGACCCTCTAAACATTTTCAAGCTCTAGTCTCTACCTTAAGCGTTTGATTAATAAGGATTTGTTCTGTGTGAAAAGCTACAAAGAGAAGCCTAGGCCACCTGGACAGATGCTGGCATCAGCACCCACATCAACTCCTCGGCTCAAGCATGACCTGTCACCCTCTAGATCTAAGATACTGCCTGAGAACCACCGAAAGTGTTGTTCAAACAGAAGAAAGAAAGAAAAACTGAGGGAAAGGGGCCAAGCACATTTGAAACTGGCCATGTTGCCTTGAGGCTTTACTAACAAGGCTGTTTGTTCCAGGGACATGCATGATTTTAGGCTGCCCCCTTGTGGGCACTTGTAAGAGTCATACCTTCAAATCATTTCCTTTCCAGAAAATCTTCATCATCAGGCCCCTTAGTCATCACCTGCTTCGTCATAACGGGAGGCTACAATCTACGAACCAAGTCCATTGCTTGAATTTACTCGGCCCCATCACCCCACGACGACGGAGATACTATTGTGATCCTCATCTTATAGGTACAGAAAGGGAGGCACAGAGGTTAACTTGTTCAAGGCCACACCATCAGAAAGTGGAGACGCCAGATTCCAACCTAAGAACCTGACTCCAGGACCCACACACACTCTTAATTACTGCTTTCCCATGTGGCTCTCTGGCAAAGGAGGAAACTAACAGCTCTACCTTAGCACCCATGAATGAAACCTTCATGGCTTTCTGAGACCCAGTATTGTATGCAAGGAACAAGTCCCATCCTTGTCCCAGGAATGTGCATGCAAATTTGGAGAGAAGTGCAAGTCCAACTCATTAGAGAAGTACCAAGTAGGCACTACTGTGAGCCAGGCACTGGCCAGCTGGGCACAGATGTGCTAATTATTTGCTTCCCCTTCAAACTGATGGTTTGGAAATGTTTG